ACCCGGCCAGCAAGGGGGACAGAAAGGCTTTCAAGGGCTAGGAATCAGCCTGGGGGCAGTGGTCAGAAGGGAGGTGGGACAGCCTCTTCTCAGGGGCTCAGAGCATGTGGCCTGTGTCTGGGCTGCCGAGGTTGAGGGAGCGGACAAGGTCACTCACAGGAGAGTGGCCAGAGGAGCTGCAGGTGCTGTGACAGGAAAGGACAGGACGCCCGGACGAGGGTGAGAGCCACCCCCGTCAGACCTCCAGAGACCAGCGGAGGGCCCGGAGGATTGCAGGGGCCCCTGCGGGAGGGACACCCCTTGATTTTTAAGTGCTGGTGGCTAGTTAGGGTAGAAAGTGACGAAGCTGCAAGGCCCAGGCCACTGGCCCATGTGGCCCGTTTCAGCCTGTGGATTACAGACTCCGCCTCCAGATGGGACTCGTTCTCCGCCCACACGGGTGGGGGCGGGGGGAGGGGGTTGTGCAGGGAACTGGCTTCTTGTTCGACAGCTTAAGCTTTTTCAAAAGAATTATTTAGGAAATAGTTTTGGACCCTGCTTTTCATTTTGAAAAATTTCAAGCCCACAAAAAGGTTGGAAGAAGACTACCGTGCACGCAGGCTCATCCTCACCACTGGCTGAATTCCCTCCCTTTGTGTTTCTGCCCCACTCCCAACCACGCACCACTGCAGCAGGCGTCAGGATGCGTCTCCTCTAAACACGGCCTTTGCCTCCGAAGGGCAAGAATGTCCTCCGCTTGCCCGCAGCATCGTCACACCCGAGGAAGTTAACTTGTTCCTTATCCAACATGCAGTTCACGTTCAGATTTTCCCACTTGCCCTCAAAGTGTTCATCACAGCCCCTGCCGCTCCCCAGTGTAAGATGCCATACAGACAGGCTGTCAGGCAGAGCTGACCCACATGGGCGGCTCCAGAGGTGGGGGGCTTCCCAGGCCTGGAGGCGGCCTCCTAGGTGCTTGAAAGGGCCCTTTTTCTTCCTGAGGGTCCCAAAGTCCAAGAGCCTCCAGGCCCACGTGTGCCAAGTGCCAAGGCCTTTGCTGGCCTCAGGGTGGGCGGGAGCCCCTCTCTGCCCTCCTCCGCCTGTGAGGGGGCTGAGAGGGAGTCTCACTCCCTCCGACCAAGGGCAGGGCTGGCCTCTCCTGCAGCTTCTTCCAGCTCAGAGGCCCATGCCTCTGACCCCCCACCCTGCCTCCATCTCTGCTGCTGGCCTGTGCTGGCCCCTAATTGCCGTGGCTCCTCAGTTGGCCGGCCAGTCACTCTGCCCACCCTTGTCCATGCCTGGCTCCGGGCCCACCTTGAGGTGTCATTTCAGTGTGTGACGACTGTGACACGTCCCTGGCAGAACTGAGCCCTCCAGAGGTTCCCCATCATGTGCAGGCTGAGGCCCTGTACTCGAGGCCGCCCCCTCCTGGCAGCCCCCCGCAGAACACGGGGCAGCATTTCCAAGCAGTCCTCCACCTTTCGTTTTTGACTCTTAGACTTATTTTAGTAGAAAAAAGTAAAACGTTCCAGAAACACATAATTTAGTGGGTGAAGATCTCCTGTGATCCCAGACCTCGGATGGCTTTATTTTTCAAATTGCTCTCATCCTTGTGTTAAAGAGAATGAGGCTGAGGGGCAGAGGTCGTGAAGGGACAGGTCTGGGTGGCCCCCCAAACCAGCGATGAAACGGACCACACGGCGGAACCCAGGGCTCTGCCGCCACCGAGCCGCGTAGGCTGGGGCAGCTCCCGTCGCCGGTCAGCTGCCATTTCCTCTTCTGTGCAGTGGGTGCCCTTAACCAGGCTCCTGCCCCTGGAGGGTCATTGTCAGTAGCAACGACAGACAAGCCACGAAGACAGAGACTCCACTGGGCGGTACGAATGGCGTGCTTATCATGGGGACATGAGCGACAGGGGACAGAGGGCACTGGGGACAAAAGCACAGAGTCGGGGGAGCCCACAGGCTTCGGGCTGTGGGGTGGGGGCTGCCGGGGGTGAGGAACTCTGACCTTCGTCCAACTTCGAAACTATTACAAATAACAACAGTTCCTTTTAACATTCCCAAAGTAATTATGTGCATGGTAGGAAATTTAGAAGTGATGAATAAGCAAAAAGGAAAAATAGCACACTCAGCCCCCATCAGGAATAAGTACCACAATGTCTAAACATCCTTCCTGTCCTTTGTGCCTGCTGCTTGTTGAGTGCCGTCCTTGGTCCCATCAGCACGGAGCCAGGCGTGGTGCAGAGTCACACTGGAGGAGGCAGTTTGTGCCATCAGCAATTCTGCATCCAGCTCTCCTCTGAGCCAGGATGCTGACAGCCAGGAAGGACATAGGATGGCCCCTGCCAGGAACGTCATGCAGTGGAAGGAATGTCCCCTTTTGTGATGCTGACGGTGGGCTCTGGGAGCTGGAAAGTGAGGGTGGGTGTGTAATCAGGGAGGGCTTCCTGGAGGAGCTGGGCTCTAACCTCCAAGAGTGGGTAGAATGTGGGAGGGCTAGGAAGGAAGGCAGGCCAGGTGAGAGAGGTGTGGGGCGGGAGCAGCTCCCCCACCCTGCCTTGTGGAGGGCTGAGACCTGCTCGTCGGTCAGGGCACTCACTTGCCCCTGTGAGTCCTGAAAGCCACAGGTGCCCTGCAGTTGGCCATCTGTCCCTCTCACATTCCCTGAGCATCTGCTGGGCCCCAGGTGCTGTTCCGAATCTGGGGTCACGTATGGACAAGTCAGACACTGTCTTGCTTTTGGGGAGTCAGGCAGACTGATGCTGTTCTCAGTATAATCCCATCAGTGACTGGATTAGGAAAGAAAAGGCGCCGATAGGCTGGAGAAGGTCAAGGTCTGTGGGGGTGAAGTGGCCAGACCACATTGCCAGTTTTGTACCTTCCCTCTCCCCCGCCGCCCCATCTGTGGGCGGGGCCTAGGTCTGATCATTACCGTGGTTTGAAAGGAGTGATGAGGGCAAGCCACCTTCCAGATGCCTGCACAGCTGAGGAGTGATGTGAAATGTCTGCGGATTCTGGCGTGACCACGCCCCGAAATCTGTCATGTGGTTGGGCTGCCTTCACTGTGATTGAAGGAAATGCTTGCTTTTAGTTAGAAGGTAGGGAAGTAAAGGCAGAATTGTTCACATACCATCCAGTCTCCTGAGACCCCTTAGCCTGGTCACATCCAAATCCACCCTTCCCACTCCCCCTGTCAGAGGCTGGAGTGCTAGAGATCCCAACACTCCCACCCTTGCTGACCACTGTCCCGGTGGTGGATGGCAGTCGTGTGACCCCTGGGACTGCCTGTCTGAAGAGCCAGATCTGTCTGGAACTGAAAGGGCCTTTCGGACTGTGCTGTCCCTCACTGAGGCCCAGGGAGCAGAAGGAGGTCACCCAAGGCCCCACGGCCTGTGGCCAGCGGGATGAAGGCCCTGTGCTGGGGACACACTCCGGCCCGCTGAGTGAGGTTTCAGGGAGAGAGCTGCCCAGTGTGAAGCCTGGGGATCCCAGGGTTTCAACCCTCCTGTAGGCATGTTGGAGGCAGGTCAACTTTCAGAGCACACGGTTCTTCTCCCACCCTTGCGACTGCAGCTGTGCACATCTGTCTTGTCTCCTGGCTGCCCTTGTGGGCACTGCCGGGGCCTGTGGAGCCGGTGGGAGAGCAGGTGTCTGCATCTGGAGCTCTGGGGGCGGCCAGGGGAGGAGGGACGGAGGTGTCACGCCAAGCCCAGACCTATGGGAGCAGGGCTCGGCCTTGGCCTGGCCACCGTTGCCAGCAGTTGCCTTTGTTTGTCATGCCTTCTTTAGGACAGCCACCTGTGTTCTTGGAAGAGGCTGTTCCCACCCATGCCTGCGGGGCCCCGACTGCCGAGAGGGGTCTGAGAAAGTTGGGTGACCTCTGCCGGGAGCCTGCCACGCGGGCAGAGTGGAGAGGGCTGGAGCGAGGTTTCGGGCTCGGCTGTAGGCCCTCGGGGTTCACTGGGGAGCTCTGCACTCTGAGCCGCGTGCCTTTCGGTTTGGGAACAGAGACTCATTCCCTCCACGTTTGCCTCCCCCCCGCCCCCAAAAGACAGAAATTGGACCGGGTGTGGAGTCACAATGGGCTCTTGTAAACACAGGTGTGCGTGTTAACACAGCTGTCAGGCAGCTTCTGGGACTTTTCACAGACGACAGGGCTGGGCAGGGAGCCCTTCCCACGCCGGAGAGGGGCAAGTCGGGTGGCGGTTCGGGAGGGTTCCGGGAGGGACAGCCCGAGGCTAGTCATTCTGTCTGGGTGTCTCTGGGGCAGGGGCCTCAGTGCAGGGCCGTGGGGAGGCCTGGGCAGCCCCTGACTCAGGGCCTGGGGAAGAGCGGGCACAGGAGCCCGGCCTTCAGACAGAGCTGCTGCACACCTGGTCCAGCGTCCACTTCTTGAGGTGCTGCTGCAGGTTTTGGGGGGGCTGGGGCGTGGCAGGGCGTGGGGGTGGTCGGAGCAGCTGGTGCCCAGCCGGAGGCGGCGAGGAGGGTCATCGTGTTCTGAGGACTCTGTTGACCCTGTGCTTCTGCAGGGTCGGCCCAGGTCAGGGTGCCCGTGGGGATGGGGGGGCAGGGCAGGTGGGCCCCTCCTCTTTCTGACTCTGGACTGTTAGTGTGGGGGACTGGCCACCGCTGGGCTCTAAGCGAGTTCTGTCTCCCATGTCTGCACCCTGGTCAGCCCTCCCTACAGCCTGGCATCCATGTGGCCTGATCCAGGCACCGAGAGCCCTCAGTCTACACCTGGTGTGGCAGGTTAACCCTTCCCTCTTATTTTCCCCAGAGGAGTGCAAACTCTAATGGGTCACGTCTCCGTCTTTATGTCTCTCTACGTCCGTAGTACCCGCAGCACCGGCAGTGGGCTGGGCACCCGGGAGGCCCTCTGTGTCCTTGCGGTGGGCAGTCCCCCGCTCTCTGGGCCGCAGACGTTCACCTGCATGGGGGTGGAGGTGAGGGGTGGGCGAGGTCTCTTCCCGCCCGGCTTCTTCTGCCCACCCCTTGACTGTGCACCCTCTCCCCCCACAGGCCTCGGCTCTGAGATCGCCGGCTGACGATGGGCACGACGGCCAGCACGGCCCAGCAGACGGTCTCTGCCAGCACGCCCCCCGAGGGCCTGCAGAGCTGCGGCACCGTGGATGGGCGGCACACACTCGGCGCCCACCCCTTCCAGACCGCGGGCCTGCACAGCAGCAAGGCCAAGTCTGTCATCCCCAACAAGGTGGCCCCCGTCGTGATCACGTGAGTGGCAGGGGAGCTGACGGCATCCCTGGGAGGCACGGCCGTGGAGGCGGCCTGGCGGGTGGTGGCCTGTCGGACTTAACACCTAGATGAAGACACGGAGGCCCGAGAGGTAGGCAGTCCACCCGGAGCCACGAGACAAGCAGGTGGCAGAGACCCCGTGGTAGGTCTCCAGCTTACGTGAGCTGCTGTGCCCGCCGGGCCAGGGAGCATAGAGGGAGGACAGGCTGGGGGGATGCTCTTGAGAAAATGATTTTTGGCTGAATGTTTTCAAAGGATATGCATATACTTAGATGCATAAAATTTAGACTTTTTCCCCCCACAGCCCACAATTATGGTTGGAAACTGAGGTGAACACCAGGCCATTGAAGGGCCGTGGGCTGGAGAAGCTGGAAGCTGTTGGCCGACAGTCCTAGTTAGGTTCTTCAGGGACATTCCTGCAGCAGACCGCGGGTTTGCTCTGATACCACATTTTGAGAGAGACTTGGGTGTCCAGAGGAAGTGGGGCAGGAAGGGGCCCTGAAACCCTGTCTGCCCCTCGGGGCACAATGAAGGGGTGGGTGCTGGGGAGCCCCGAGGCCGGGAAGATGGATGGGGCACCAGATCCGTCTCTTGGGGAGGCAGAGAGCCTTGTCTGACCCTGAATCTGCCCACTGCGCTCCCCCGCCTCTGGGCCCCTCCAGGACGCAGGAAGTAGGACACGGCGAGCTAAGCATCAAATGTATTCCACACATGGAAGTTTGGCAGGGACCTAGCAGATGGGCCTTCCGTGTAAGGAAACCTGAGGGTGGAAATGGTAAATTCGGCCTGCTGGCTTTGGGGCCTGACAGGAAAGTCATTACCATGGTACATCATGGGGTTCGAGGTGAGGAGAGGACAGAGATGTTCCATGAAAAGCCCTGGACACACAGTCTCTGTCCTAGGGACGCCAACACCGGTCTGTCCGGGCCTTGAGGGGCGTGTTGGAGACGCACGTCCAGGTCTTGCTCCATGACCTGGGGCAGTCCTGTTCCTTCCTGGACCTCGGTGTCCTTATCGGGACATGTGGAGGTGATGGTCACAGTGTTTAACCCAGGGGTGTGGCTCAGCCGGTGCCAGCCTGCCGTAAATACCCACCGTATGGGGCTGTGCGTGATCCTGGAGCCGGCCACACGCACGGCATCCCCCGGGCTGTAGGCGTTTCAGGTGGGAGGGGCCTTGGAGACCACGTAACGCAGGGTTGGCGAACTCCTAACGTGGCTTACAGGCCAAGTCTAGCCCAGCATGTTTTTATGATAAAGTTTCACGGGAACCCTGCCTAGTCACGCATTTGCGTGTGACCTGCGGGTGCTTAGCACTTCAGCCACAGCGGCGAGCAGTGCCACAGCGGCTTTGCAGGGCCCACAGAACGTAAAATACTTGCCTTCCGGTCCTGACATAAAAGGTTTGCCAACTCCTGATCCAGTATACCTTTCAGATCAGATGTGAAAACTGACTTAGGCACGCAGTTCAAGAGGCAGAGAGAGTTGCCTCCCACAGGCACTGTGGTGAGCGAGGGGCAGAACTGGCAGCAGGAACCCGCGTTGCTGGACTCCTCTCCCGGTGCTCCCTACCCCCACCTTGGGAGGCTGTGTTTTCCTCATCATTGCGATCAGCACAGATGCTTTTTGTGACTCAAGGGCACAGACCTCCTGTGGTGTCTGTGGAAACCTGGCTTTGTACCTTGGGGATTTTTGAAGTGGCCCTCTGTGGAGGTAGAACCACCACTAGTAATAACAATTTTATCAGTAAGTGCTGGCTGTACCCGAGGCACTGGGCTCAGCAGTGTCATTCAGGAATGTGTTGATTTCTCAGAGTAGCCGGAGGAGGTGGGGGTCACGGAAGTGGAGCTACAGAGAGGGAGTAACTTCAAAGTCGTGGAGTCATGAAGCAGCGGAGGCGGATTAATGCTCAGGGCGCACAGCCCCAAAGCCTGTGTCCTGAACCACCTCACTGTGCTGTGGGATGGTCGGCGTGGAGGTTGTTCCCAGTTACAGTTTGACAGAGGGGACCGTCCAGGACCAAAGTAGCTCCGGAACAGAAGGCCTTCTTTGAGACGGGAGCGGCTCTCAGGTGGAAGTCCTGGAGATGCGTGGGGCTCTGGGATAAGCCAGGCTTCTCCTCGCTTGCTGCTCTGCTGTCATCAACAGGGGCGCCCTACCATCACTTCCAGATGCTGGTCTAGGAAGAGGAGAGCAAAGTGGAAGATCCACACCTTCCCTTTGAGAGAATGGCCCAGAAGTTGTACAAATCACTGCTCCTCACATCCATTGGCCAACATTTAATCACATGACCACACTAGTTACAAGGAAGGCTGGGGAATGTAGTCTTCGTATGGATGGCCCAGTTCCGATTTTAGGGTTCTGTTTTTGACCAGGGGGAGAGTGGATATTGTGGTATAATGGGCTGTCTCTGCTACAAAGGGGTTCGACCGCTTGGGTGGGGGTGGGGTGGGCCTGCTGTGAGGTCTGGTGAGGACGGAGTGGACCCTGGCCATGGAGGTTGCCTGACTTGGTCTCCGTCTTGTCTGCCCTGGCAGGTACAACTGCAAGGAGGAGTTCCAGATCCATGATGAGTTGCCCAAGGCCCATTACACGCTGGGCCGGCTCTCGGACGCCACCCCTGAGCACTACCTGGTGCAGGTGAGGTTGGGCCCCGCCCTTCCCTCCCCCTTCCTGCCTCTCTTCGCTCTTCCTGCCCTCCCTTCTTACAGGTTTCCTCCCTAATCTCTTCTTCTTTCCCCCAACCCCCTTCTCTGTGTTCACTGCCTCATCCCCCGCTCTGGTCCCAATCCCACTTCCTCTCACCTCCTGGTTTTCTGGGGCCCATTCCTCCTGCCCAGGGGAGCCCCTGTCTTCTCTCCATCCTTCCCCTGCCTGACCCCAGCATGCTGATACCCCATCTCTCAGAGCCCCAGGGAGAATGTAAATGAGGACGGAAGGCTCCCAGGTCCCATACTGCTTCCCCAGGCTGGGGGCCTCCCTCCCCTTCTCTTTCGAAGTTTCAGAACTTCTCTGGCTTGGGTGTGTGTGTGTGTGTGTGTGTGTGGCCTTGAGTACCCCCTAGAAAGTAAAGTCCACAAGGACACATGATTTTTCTCTCTCTTGTTCGCTATAGCCACGTCCCTCAGGACTGTGCATGGGTGTGTTGTGAGTTCTCAGTGAACAGCCAGTGAACGAATGACAGTGAATGATGATGACAAACTGTACTTACTGAAAGGAGCTGAGAGTTTCTGGCACCTAGAAGAGGTGGTCCCACTTCCCTGTCAGCAGTGTGGGTGCTCAGGGAGGTAGATGGGACGACCACAGGGCTCCTTTGGGCCCAGGAGTGAATTCTTCTGGTGCTCCCTACTCGCCCCTGGTCCCCTAGTACCATTTCCCTCTTTTCTCTATAGTCATGGCATCCTCACCCCAGTTGGGGAGGGGAGAGACCCACCCGTCCTCCAAACTGCAGGACCCTAGGAGGGGGCTGGTACAGACTCCCCTGGTTGACTCCTGCTGCCCCAGCGGTGACCCCCCCCGTGCCCTGGCCCTTCTCCACACCCTTCCCCGCAGCCAGCGGCAGGCCCACCCAGAGCCAGCTTTGGTTTCCTGCCCTCTCCCCACTCCCCTTCGTCAAGGCCTGGCTCAGACGCCAACACCTCCGTGGAGCATTCCCGGGTTCCCATGCAGAAGGGGCCGTCTTTCTCTCCTCTCACTCTGTGCTCCCCTTCCTGGGATCATGGATGGTCACGGGTTTTGTCTGTTTCTGTGAGCCTGCAGACCAGTTGAGGACCATGTCCCCCCTACCCTAGTTCCCTGGTCCCCATCTCCTGGGGCCTGGGACAGCACTGCCTGTGGAAGATGTCCCTGAGTCATCTCAGTGGCCCCCGTGGCTCTCCCACTGCCAGGGACGCTACTTCTTGGTGCGGGATGTTGCTGAGAAGACGGACCTGCTGGGTACTCTGCGGAGCTGTGGGGCCCCCAACTTCCGGCAAGTGCGAGGCGGGCTGGCCGTATTTGGCATGGGACAGCCCAGCCTCTCGGGGTTCAGGCAGGCCCTTCAGAAACTCCAGAAGGACGGACACAAGGTAAGCACAGCCACTTCTCAGGCTGGGGCTAGCCTCAGATGTGGGGAAGGGGGCCCTTGGAAGAGGCAACTTCACAGCCTTCGGAGGGTCCTTGGCCACATGATCGGGAGCGTGGCTGGTGACCTCGGCCCTGCCAGGCCTTGAATACCACGGTGGTCTTTGTGGTCAGCATGATTAGAAATTCTGGGCCAATGTTATTGCATTCTCCTGTGTGGACACGGCAGTGTCGAGGTTAGAAGTCCCTCATATGCCCCACTCCAGGAACCGCACAGGAAGTGAGGACGAGAAGAGGTACCATAACGAGAGAGCCACTGGGGGATGATCATAGCTGACGCGTTCAGGCTGACCTCAGCCGTGTAAGGGGGGGCAGTTTCCTCCTTTTTACGGGGGAGGAAACCGAGATCCAGAGAGGGTATGCAACATAGCTCGTGAGTGGTGTCCCAGGACCCAAACTCGGACATCTGCATTCTGAGTGCCGGCTTTTACTGCCCCTTCTCCCCTGCCCGCCGTCGAGGTGGGTTCTGTCTGCAGGACGGAGGCCGAGGGCCCACTGTGATTGCAGGCTCACCATGGGCTCCCCGAGGCAGACAAATCAGACACTGGCCTGGGGTTGAGAAGGAGAGTCTCTGAGTGACCAGAGTGGGGTGTGACTGCCGGTTCCTCCCGGGCGGGGCCTGCCCGCACGTCTCCCCCTTTCTGTGCGATGCACAGTGAAGACTGATCGCGTTGTGGTCATGGGCTTTCATTTCTAATGAGTGTTGCCAAGTGCTTGATTTATCCGGGGCTCTGCTAGGGGTAGCAGAGACATGAAAATACGCAGGAGATGGTTCCCCTGCGAGGAACCTGTAATCCATTAGCAGAGCAAAGATGTGCTCGCGGACAGTGTTGCTACGGAGTGGGGATCGTCAAGTTCAGATGAAGGACCGTTGGCCCTGCGGGAGGGTGTCCGGAGCAGGTGGCGTTTGGTCTGCGCTTTGATTCTGGGGCCGGATCGGGGTCTCAGGGACGGGGTGGTGATGACCCTTGAGGAGAGGGAACAGTGAGCTTAAGAGCCCGGCGGGGGCAGCGGTTGGGCGTCCACGCCGGGTGGTGGTGACGCTGCCCTCCCTCCCCGGGCCCCGGCAGGAGTGCGCCGTCTTCTGCGTGCGGGAGGAGCCCGTGCTGTTTCTGCGAGCCGGTGAGGACTTCGTGTCGTACACGCCTCGAGACAAGCAGAGCCTTCACGAGAACCTGCAGGGCCTCGGGCCCGGGGTCCAGGCGGAGAGCTTAGAGCTGGCCATCCGAAAAGAGGTGAGGGCCCCTGGGGTGGGTGGGGGGCCTCCTCCCTGGTGGGCCTGGGGCGGCTGAGTTGAGGCCCCCGCCCGCAGCTCAGCTTTGCTCTCACTGGCCCCTGCGCACCCACCTTCCTGCCCTGTGTGGGCCAGTGGCTGGTGACGGGGCCAGCTCACGGGCAGCCAGAGGAGGGGCTGGCTGCCTGTGCCCAGCTCTGCTTGCCTCTGCCCCTTTCCCACGCTGCCTCTGTCCTCCACACGCAGCGCCCTGTGTGCAAGGAGGTCTGGTGGGTGACAAGGACACTAGGCTAAGAGTCTAGGAGTGAAGTCCAGTCCCCGTGAGCTGCGAGGCCCGGGGGAGTCACGGCCCTCGTGGCCTCGCTGGTTTCTGAGGTTCCTCTGTGCTTCCCCTGTACACAGTTTGTCAAGGTCTCTGAGGCTGTTGGCACACCACAAAGGTGTGTAAATAGTGGGGTCACAGTGCCCCCCGGGACTTCCACGGACAGGAACCGAGGCTGTGCTGGCCCCCGGTCGTCTCCCCACCTCCCTTCCTGGCCTCCTCTCTGGCTCCCAGCTGACGGAGTCTCGCCCCATCCTTCAGTCTGGCGGCTTAGCTGCCTCCTGCTGCCCTGCTCCTGGGCGGAGCCTTCCAACCCGACCCCAGGGCACAGGTGGCCGCCTTTAGGACACCTAGGTCACAGACAGCACCCCTGGCCATGTAGTTCCCCCTGGGGGAAAAGCAACTTGTCCCTCGCCTCCGTGTGGCCTGTCACTCAGCCGGGAAGGCCAGGAGGGACCTGATCGCCCGCCATGGCCCTCTGGCCCCCACACCTCCGTGCAGATCCACGACTTCGCCCAGCTGAGCGGGAACACGTACCACGTGTACCACAACACCGAGGACCTGCAGGGGGAGCCCCACGCTGTGGCCGTCCGGGGCGAGGACGATGTGCACGTGACTGAGGGGGTGTACAAGCGGCCCCTGTTCCTGCAGCCCACCTACAGGTACCGAGGGCCCGTCCCGTGCAGCACCCCGGGGGGCGGGGCGTGGTGGTCTCTGGGCCTGCTCTCCAGCTGTGGCCTCGGTCTCCCCAGCTGCAGGTGGGGCCCAGGGGTGGAGGGTGCCCAGGCCGGGTACGTGGCCTGGCTGATGGGCTGCTCCCCCTCACCGGGCAGGTACCACCGCCTGCCCCTGCCAGAGCAGGGGGCGCCCCTGGAAACCCAGTTTGATGCCTTTGTCAGTATCATCCGGGTAAGTGGCGGGGGGAGGGGAGCAAGGGCCTGGAGGGTGGGTCTGTGTGCAGGCCCTGACTCCGTGGAGATGCTCAGGGTGGGCTTGGTCTCTGGGTTTCCTCAGAAAGAGTCCTCGTTCTGTGTCGTGTGGGGTGTGTTGGGGATGTGCGCCTGTGTGTGAGGGGTTGTGTGTGTGCGTGTGGGGTGTGTCTACACGCCCGGGTGACAGCCCCTCGCTGGCCGTCTGGAGAGCCGGACTCCGGGGGCCTGGGCTGCTGACCTGCTGTGTGACCTCGGGCACATCTGACCTCTCCAGACCTCCAGTGCCTCATTTCTTTCCTGGGACTAAAATTTTGGCCTCTGGACTCGTCTGCTGTTACTTCCTGAGTCCTGGTGGTGGCGCTCGCTCAGCCCCTTCAGGAGGTCATCTCATTTAAGCCGAATCTCACAGGGGCGTTAGATGTGGCCTGGTCCCCTCTGAGTAGTTCTTACTTCCAGAGCCAGTGCCTTGGTCTCCCCGGGGCCTGGGGAGGGGCTGGGCCTGGGCTCCCTGGGGCAGGTGGAGCAGATCGGGCTGTGGGGTTTGGCAAAAGAGGCTGAGCTGCCGGTCTGGCCCCATTTTGCTGCAGACTGCGGGCCAGGGGCGGGCCTGTGTCCTGACCCCCCACCTCACTGGCTCCTCAGCTGAGGGGTTTCTGGGTTACATTGCCACCTGATACTCGTGGTCCTTCCCCAGGAGACCCCCAGCCTGCTGCCACTTCGAGACGCCCACGGGTCACCCCCTGCTCTCCTCTTCAGCTGCCAGACAGGTGTGGGCAGGACCAACCTGGGCATGGTCCTGGGCACCCTTGTCCTCTTTCACCACAGCGGGACTGCCTCCGGGCCAGAGTGAGTGCTGTGGGCCCAGCGCCCCGGGGGACTGCCCCAGTGTGCCAGGGACATGGCGGGTGCTCAGAGCCAGAGCTGGAAATAGGGCATCTGGGGGCTCGTTTCCGGTTTACCATAGACTTGCAGGGTGACCTGGAGAAAGTCACTTGACCTTTCTGGGGAAAAGTGCCCCTTGCTCCCCCGCCTGATTTGAAAGGCAGACCTGGAGCCTGTAGTCGGGTGCCTGTCAGTGTCCGGATAAGTGGGAGAATGTCAAGAGCAGGGCCACCCAGAGCGCTGATTATGCTCCCGCCCCCTTCCTTGCCAGGGCGGTCCCTGCGAAGACCAAGCCGCTGCCCATGGAGCAGCTCCAGGTGGTCCAGAGCTTTCTCCACGTGGTGCCCCAGGGGAGGAGGATGGTGGAGGAGGTGAGCCGGCGGCTGGGCAAGGCGCTGGGTGTCCCCTCCCCTTGGGGTGGCGTCCCTGCCTCCCGACAAGCCCTTTTCTCATTCTCAGCCAGTCATTCTCTTCACCCCCTTCCCTTCCATCTCCCACCACCTTCCCTTGGCTCTGCTGCTCCCTGCCCCCGTGTCCCTGGTCCCTAACACCAGGTGGACAGAGCCATCACTGCCTGTGCCGAGTTGCACGACCTCAAGGAGGTGGTCTTGGAAAACCAGAGGAAGCTGGCGCGTGTCCGGCCCGGGAGCCCAGCCCAGGTGAGGCCCCGAGAGCACCTGCTTTGCAGGAGCCTGTAGCCTTGTTTCTTTAGGCCTGTTGCCTGGCCTCTTTCAGACCGACTTTCCTGGTGGCTTCTCCTCCCGTTAGAAGAGCGGCTTTCAGAGGAAGGGGAGGTTGGGGAGCTGCGGGTGCAGGCAAGACGGCCGAGGAAGAGGGGAAGTTTACTTTCCCTGACCAGGCCGCCTGGCTGCAGGGTAAACAGGATGGAGGAAGGCGGTGGGGTGCTGGGGGCCTCCGGATCCAGATACTTCCCAGACCGCTCACAGTGCCCCCGTGCCTGCCGTGGCGTTCCTTCGGGAAGGATGGGTTCGGGCCAGCCCGCCACCTCCGGGAGCCTGTCGGGCTCTGGGCTGACTCAGTGGGCCGTCCCCACGCCCTGGGAGGAGGTGGGCTCGGCGGTGTTTGCAAACAGTCTGTGGAAAGGATGTAAAGCCTGCGGAGCCTTTTTATTTTTTAACACTTTAAAACCATCTTTTAAAGCCAGTATTATATGGTGGGAAATGAGAAGTAGGAGAAGGAAGCAGTTCCCCCTAATCCTAGCGTAGCTGCCGCGGGCGTTTTGGACCAGCCTCCTTCCCTTTTCCTGTCTGGGATGTTCTTGTGTCGGCCGCCCCAGCTTGTGTGCGTCCTGCTTACTTAGTTTGTTTTTTCCCCCCCGTCCATACCTGGCTGTCGTCACAGAGGATTTTCCCCATGATGTAAGGTCACGGCCTGGTTCAGCCACCGTTGGCCTGACGGGTTCAGAGCGCGACGGCCCAGGTTCCGGCCCTGGCCCTGCCACAGGCAGGCGGTGGGTGTGGGTGGCCTGGGGAGCTGCTCTGTGCCCCCGGTGTCCCCACCTGCGGCCGGGGCCACCGATGACAGCGACCCCGAGGGGTTGTTGTGGAGAGAAGGCCAGATGGGATCCACAGAGCACCCGGAGGGGGCCCGACGCTCCTGGCACCTGCCATGGCTCACTCCCAGGCCCCTCTTGTCGGACAGTTGTCACTTGCAGTTCCATCTCAGCGTGAACACTTCTGCGTCAGGCGGCTTTGTGAAAATGAGGCTTTCATGAATTTAGGAATTTTTCTCCCGGTCTAGATTAGGGCCTGGCCCAGCCACACCCTACTTCTGTGGGTCAGCCAGCTCTATCGGGACGTGGTGTTGCCTGTTTATCACGCGCCATCCCGGGCTGTCTCACGCTGCAGTGGCGGAGTTGAAACAGACGCTGTGTGGCCCGCACACCTAGAGGACTCACTGTTTGACCTTTTATAGAAATGAAAGTTTACCAACCTCTGGCCTAGATTCCCAGAGATGGAATTAAACTTCATCAAAGGACATGACCTTTTTGGGGGGCCTGCACCCACCTCTCTTGTCCTGCACAGGGTTCACTGACCCAGCAGGACCCCGAAATCTGAAGGCTGAGAGCGGGACGCTGGGGACCAATCCAATACCCTCCCTGAAAAACCCTCAGCCAGAGGAGCTGGGCTGGGGTTGGGACACGTGTTTGGGGACCCTGCTGTGTGACTTTGAGCAGGCCACGTCATTTCTCTGAAGTGACGGTGGGCAAGGCCGGCCCTGCACCGAGAACTGTAGAGCCTGCTGAAATCACCATAGCGGTTGCTATGCCATGGGTTACCAGCTGCAAATGGGCAGAACTGTGTTAAGAAGGGAGAGGTAGATGGTCTTCTAGGGATTTCTGAGGCTTAACTTCTGCCCTTCCTGGGGTGGGTGGGGACTGTGTGGCCAGAACCGCCCTGTCTTTACCTCCCGGCCCGCTCCTCTCAGGGAAGCAGCAGCCAGCACAGCGTCCGGCAGAGGGCGCTGCGGAGCCTGGAGCGATACTTCTACCTGATCCTCTTTAACTACTATCTGCATGAGCAGGTGGGGCCTGGGGGTGAGTGGACTCATGCCCCTTCCCCTGGGGCCCCTCCAGCCTCCCCACCACAGTGACAGGCATGGGGTCAACAAGGACCCCTGTGGAACTGGGGAGCAGAGTGGGACACCTGTGTTGGTTTCAGAGGAAGGAGAGACCCAGATGTGGGGTGGGTGGGGGTCCCTGAGTAGGTCAGGCAAAGGGAGGTCCCACCTCTCTCCTCTGGCCCCTGCCCCATCTCTGTACCCTTAGCTAGGATGTCGGGACCCTGAAAGATCTTGCTTTGGACATCCTCATCCTTGCTCCCCACCCTCTCATCCCCGCCCTGGGCCATCATGGATGCCTCCTGGGGCTCCCCCACCCGAGGCAGGCAGGGAGAGAGCAGGGTGGTCCTGCGCCCCTGAGCTCCCGTCTCTCTCTGCCTCGGGCTGCAGTACCCGCTGGCCTTTGCCCTCAGTTTCAGCCGCTGGCTCTGTACCCACCCTGAGCTGTACCGCCTGCCTGTGACCCTGGGCTCAGTGGGGCCCACGGCCCCCGCGGACCTCATCGCCAAGGGCTGCCTGGTGAGTGTGGCTGGCTGTCTGGGGAGCCCGACGTGTGGGGGCCGGCCCTTAACTCCTGTGGGGTCACTTAGGCAGTGCCTCACAGGGGCAGAGGGGAGACAGCCTGTGGGCTGGTGGAATCTTCTTGTGAGCAATAATGGGGTCACTTTCAGGGCGAAGAAGCGGGTGCAGCTTTGACCACTGGTCTAGTCCCCTCTCCCAAGTCTCACAGCGAAGTGCTCTGGGCAGGGAGTCAGGAGCCTGGTTCTGGAGTCTTTGCTGCTGGCTTCTCATCTTGGAGCCTCAGCTTTCTTACCTGAGAGTGGGCACCATTGGCCGTCCCCTCACCGGGGCTGTGATGGAGATCTGAGTGCAACCTGCCGGTTGCCCTTTCGCTGCCCTCTGGGGCTGGTCCTGACCTCTCAGGGGCTGCTGCTCTCCCCATAGGGCGCGGACGATCTCATTTCCCTGGACGCACTCAGCACCATCAGAGAGATGGACGTGGCCAACTTCCGGCGGGTGTCCCGGATGCCCATCTATGGCACGGCCCAGCCGAGTGCCAAGGTGACCACCCCAGCAGTCAGGGGCCCCCTTGAGGGGCAGAGGGAAGGGAGGGTTGAGTGCTCTGCTGACCTCCTGCTGTCCCGCCAGGCCCTGGGGAGCGTCCTGGCCTACCTGACTGACGCCAAGAGGAAGCTGCAGCAGGTCGTTTGGGTCAACCTGAGGGAGGAGGCTGTGCTGGAGTGTGACGGGCGCACCCACAGCCTGCGGGGTCCTGCGCCTCCCGTGACCGCTGACCGACTGGAGGTGAGGCTCTCTGCCTTCTGCACACCCCTGCACACCCTCGAGGGCCTGGGGACTTGGCCTGGGGGGTCTTTAGGAGGTCCTGTGCTCCTGGTGTACAGATGGGTAAACTGAGGCCCCCAGGAGGAGCAGTGTGAGGGGTGGATGACTCGGGACACCTGCCACGGCCCCCTGCCCGGCGCTGGGTCTAGTTTATGACCTGTGAGGCTCAGGAAGGGGCAGGCATGGGTCCGGGAGCCAGGGCTGGTCCTGGCCGTGGCGGGCTCTGGTCTTCGAGGGCTGCTTCAGTGGCCGGTGTGCCCTCCGCCCACCTTCCCCTAGGACCTGGAGACCCAGCTGAAGGCCCACCTGAGTGTGCCTCCCCCCGGCGCAGAGGGCCCACGGCCCCACAGGTTCCAGACGTGCCTCACCACGCGGGAGGTCTTCAGCCAGCACTGCGGGGCCTGCCCCGGCCTCACCTACCACCGCATCCCCGTGCCAGACTTCTGTGCGCCCCGAGAGGAGGTGAGGGGCCAGGGAGGCAAAGCCTCTGGGGAGGGAGAGCAGCCTCCCGTCCGGCCTGGGCCTTGGCTGTGGGCACGGCTCTGCTGAGGGCTGGGAGGCCCTCGGTCCGTGAGGTTTTATGTTTGGCCCAGGCGGGTTTATTTGCGTCCCTTTCAAGCTCGGTATTTGCCTGCGTGTGTGCACGCATGTCCATTACATGTTGTAGGTGTGTCGGGGTGTGTTCCTGCTCTCTGGTGTGTGTGTCTGTTGGGGACTGTCTGCAGTGGCGTGGGTGCTGTCGGGAGTGTTCATATGGGGCGTGCACTTTAGTGGCATCTGTGTTGGATATCTCGTCTTTGTCGGGCACAGGTGTGCACGGTGTCTTTCAGAAAGCTGTGCCGTGAGGAGTGTGCGGGGCTTGGGGGAAGGTGTGTGGGATGCTGCGTGTGGCACAGGGTGTTGGAGCGCATGCATCTGTGGTGTGTGCCTGGAGTGTGTCGTGTGAGGGTCTGTGTGCCCGTGTGACACAGCAGTCATTTGGTATGGCGTTTGTGAAGGTCGGTGCAGTGCACGCAGGGCCTGTGACAGGCTCCCTACGACAGATGGTGATGGGCTTGGAATTCCCGTCACCCTGTGCTCTGTGCTCTGAGCTCTGACTGTCTGTGGTTTGTTGCCCCCTGGTGGCCATGCACTGCAGTGAGCCGTTGAGTCTAGACTCTGCCCTTAGGCCAAGGCTTCAGTTGGGTCCACCTTAGGTGGGCAGTAGAGCAGAGGGTCCGTGCAAGGCCTGGGGGCACAGCACATCGGAGTGTGTGCACACGTGCATGTCCTGCCTGGCAGACGGTGGGCGCCAGGACCCCCAGGGCCGTGCGTGTATCAGTTCAAGTGTCCGGCCCTGTCCTGGGGCGGAGATTGTGCAGTACCAGGGGCTGGTTTCACGTGCCTGGTCTCTTGTGCACTGCAGCGAGTCGAGTGTGTGTGTGCAGACTGTGAGCCTGACAGAGCCGGGCATGGGGTGAGCACTCCCTTTGGGGGATGAACCACCTCGGGACGGACTTGTCTCCCCGCTCAGGATTTCGACCGGCTGCTGGAGGTCCTGCGGACGGCCCTGGCCAAGGACCCGGGTACCGGCTTCGTGTTCAGCTGCCTCAGCGGCCAGGGCCGGACCACAACCGCCATGGTGGTGGCTGTGCTCGTCTTCTGGCACATCCAAGTAAGGGAGGGAGGCCCCTCGTGTGGGGGGCGGCCTGCCCTGGTTGGGGGCACTTGGTCCCGAGGGACACTGGCTCTGCCAGGAGGGTGTGGGGGTGGAGGTGGTGCCCGGCAGACCCCGGGGAAGGGGCTCCTGGCATGAGGCAGAGGTGCAGGTGGGGTAGGAGTTCCCTCGTCCCAGCTCCTGTCCTCCCTCAGGGCTTCCCCGACGTGGTCGAGGAGGAACTCGTGAGTGTGCCTGACGCCAAGTTCACCAAGGGGGAGTTTGAGGTGAGCATGTCCCGTAGGGTCCCTGGGGGAGGGGACAGGGTGAGTGTTGCTGGCAGGGCTTGGGGTGGTGTTCAGCGCTCTTAATGCCGTCGCCTCCCCCACCTCATCACACTGGTGCCTCTCTGCTCCCATTTCATGGATGGGCAGAGCAAGGCCCGGGGCAGCTTGGCTCTGGGGCCCTGGCAGATGAGCGCTGGTTGCCTTTCTACACTGTTGATGGTGTTCTTTTTTTTTGCAAAAGCTTTAAATTTTAATGTTCAATTTGTCCACTTTTTTTTTGCCTATCCTTATGTGTCATATCTGAGAAGTTATTGTCAAATGCAGTGTCGTGAAGGTTTTCCTCTGTGTTTTCTTCTAAGAATTTATAGTTTTAGCTAAGAATTTATAGTTTTAGCTCTTACACTTAGGTCTTTGAGCCATTTTGAGTTAATTTTTGTATATGGTGAAAGTAAGGGTTCAAGTTCATTCTTTTGCATGTGACATCCAGTTTTCTCAGCACTGTTTATTGAAATGAATGTCCTTTCCCCTTGAGTGGTCTTGCATCCTTGTCAGAAATCGTTTGCCCAGCCCTGGCCAGGTGGCTCAGCTGGCTGGAGTGTCGTCCACACACCAAAAAGTTGCGGGTTGGATCCCCGGTCGGGGGGCCCATAAGAAGCAGCCAGTCAGTGGATGCTTCTCTCTCACATCGATGTTTCTCTCTCTCCCCGCCTTTCTATCTCTCTAAAATTAATAAATATATCCTTGGGTGAGGATAAGAAAAAGCATTTGACCATACGGGCAGGGCTTATTTTCAAGTCGAATCCTTAGTCTTCATACATCCCTCAGACGTAATACTTAAGTCTCTTTGCTCACCCCGGGCAGTTTGCTAGGGGCTCTGTGGGCACTCGCTTCTTCACCCTCCACAGCCCCCAAGAATTACGGTAGGTGCCCTGGCTACTCCCAGTTGACAGCTGAGAAAACCGAGGCTCAGGGAGCTAGGCTTGTCACCCTAGAGCCAGATGAGAGAGGATGGGGCCGGGGTACAAGCCATGTAGTGGACCTCACGGCCTGTGTTCCAAAATTACATCATTTGACCTTGAGATGCCCTTCTACCCCGTCCTCACCCATCCCAAGACAGTCTCCTGTCTAGACCAGTTTCCTTTGCAATTAGTTTGTCCGCAGTCCGGTGGGGTGATTCTAATAGAATGTGAAGAGGGCTGGGATAAACACTGGTTCTGAGGGCTGAGGGTGCAGCAGGGGGAGCCCAGGAGGACTTCATGGAGGAGGTTACATTAGAGTGTGTTTTAGAAAGTTGATCGAGTTTGCTGGGTGAGAGGATTAGTGTGGGTAGGAGATCAAATGTGCAAAAGAGGGAGTCTAGAAGGGCCAGGAGCTGTATAAGGCTGTGATTAGCAAGAACGAAAGGAACTGGGGCTGAAGTGGGGGGAACCTTGATTGTGAGGACGCTGGAGGGCCCCATTATGTGTTTGACCTTGCCCTTGAGGCTAGCAGAGAGGCAGAGAAGTCATGATCAGACCCATCCTGAGGGGCCGGTTGCGTGGAGGAGGCAGTGGAGAGGAGGGAGGAGCATGGCCTGACTGAGGAGGGGCTTTGAGACAAGCAGGAGAAACTAGTTCTCTTCAGGAGGCAAAGAAGCACCCAGGATGACCTTGGCTTTCTGTCTGGTGGTGGTGACAGCCAAGGAGGTGGAGAATTCATGGGGAGCGAGGCTAGGAGTCCATGCAGAGTTTCTGCCGGGGGAGCTCCGTGTGGGACCCACTCCCGACCTGCGCCCCGGAGGGCCTGTCCGTGCTGTGCACTCCTCAACCGTGTGTTGACGACCCGCAGCCCGGGACCAGGTAGGGGCTGGATGGCAGCCTCTCCCTGCAGCCGGGCCAGGCGAGCAGAGTCCTCCCAGGCAGTGGGTCCTCCCCTCCCAGTCCTGGCGGTAACTGCACCCCTGGACCTGCCAGCCCTGGGCCTGTCCTTTTTGAGAGGCTGGCGCTGGGACAGGTGAGGTGGGAGGCAGGCAGGCCAGGGGCCTTGCGGGCCTGGGGAATCTCGTTTTATGCCGAGAGGGAGGAAGCCATGGACAGATTGAAGCTGAGGAGTCCACAGGTGGGACAGGCTCCCATTTCTGGTCTCATAAGCCCTTTTTGGCTCAGGGAGGAGGCGGGGCTGCCACCGAGGGATGAGAGGGGGTGGGGGATGGACAGTACCGGCTGACAGATTTATGGGGGGGGATCCACAGGGGAGTGGCTGGGAGGGACGACTGGGGGAAGAGCGTGCCCTACAGATCGGCCTTCCTACGAGTAACGGGGGGGGTTACATCAGATGAGGGGTGTCCACGCAGCGTTCCCCATAGCCAGGTGTCCCCGCAGGGCCTGGTGGCTGCGGTGGGGCGAAAGCAGAGCCAGCTGGGCCCCAGTGTAGGCTCATCCTGTGCCCCGCCCCACCCACCGGCACGTCACAAGGTAAAGCCCCTTTTGTGAGTTAGAGTCTGGATATGGTTTTGTTTGAAGCAAGGGCTCTACTGCTTAGAGCAGCAAGCGCCTTGGGAGCCCTGGCCTCAGAGACACCAGGAACCCCCTTGTCCCCAGTCCCGCTGAGAACTGGGGGCAGGCGGGGCTCCGTGGTCAGGGCCTGGGCCTCGAGGCCAGGGTGGCCCCTGGCGCGGGGAGAGCCTGTGGTCGGGGCGGGAGGCCCCACCTGCCCACTTTGGTTTTCTCTCTGCTCAGCCCCCTCCTCTGGCCCCAGGTGGTGATGAAGGTGGTGCAGCTGCTGCCCGACGGGCACCGTGTGAAGAAGGAGGTGGACGCGGCGCTGGACACGGTCAGTGAGACCATGACGCCCATGCACTACCACCTGCGGGAAATCATCATCTGCACCTACCGCCAGGTGAGCCCCCCCTTAGCCGAGTGCGCAGCCCAGGGTGTGGCCGCTGTGGGTGCGGGGTGGCCAGGGCTCCCTTGGGACCTCCTGGGCTCTCGGTCACTCCTTCACCTTCTGGAAGTGGAGGCGACCCCTGAAGGGAATCGTGCCCGGACCCAATGCCCGCAGCCTGACTCCGGAGCATCCGGTGGGGAGCGTGTAGGGGCGCAGCTCAGAGGTCCCCGCAGCCGTCGTGGCCCCGGGGCCCGTCCAGGGTGTCCTGGTTCCCTGGGCTGCCAGGCGCCAGCCCTCCGGCTCCTGGCATGAGGACTGGGGGCCTGGCGGGAGTCAGTGGTGGACGGGCCCTCCACAGTCCTGGAGAGGGCTGTTTGGTAGCCGGCAGGATAGCAGTTAATGGCCGATACTGCTCCGGTATTGGAGATTCCTATAAAAGTCCAGATTTCATTGGAAAACTCAGATTTTAGGCCTATGTAGAAAAACTGTGTCCCCCTGTCGGCCCCGGCCCCCAGCACTTTGTCACACATGGCCTCCGGCCCAGTCATGTAACCTGCCGGGCAGCGCTGGGCATTGGGCCTTGTGGCCTCTGGGCTGTGTGTGGGGGCGTGCTGACCTGCCGGATTCTGTTCTTCGCTGGCCCAGGAGACGTGGAGGGCGGCCGGGGCAGAGGCGGACCCTGGAGCGGGATGGGGCAGCTGTGGGGGGTTGCGAATTTCACGAAGACTGTGCCTGAAGTGAGTGGGTGTCCCCATGGTGCGGCCACCCTGTGTTGTCTGCTGCTGCCCAGCAGTTCCGAGGACGGCGTCTGCCAGTGGCCCTGCTCAGCTTGCACCCCGCACACCTTGGTGAAATGGCTGATCCAGGCCAACCTTTGCCCAGGGGTCATGGCCCAGACTGTGACTGGGGTTGCTTGGCTGGAGGCAGGGTGCCTGGGGTCAGGCTCTGCTCAAGATCAGAGGTCAGTTGGAAGAGCTGCCAAATGTGGGGTGGGAATGGTGGTTAAGGAGTTTCGGAAAATGGACTTTGCTGAACTTTGGAAGATAGACTAACTTTTCCCCAAGGCCCCAGCTAGGTTGTACTTCTATTTCTTTTGGGTCATTGCTGAGGTATGGCAGGCTGCCACCAGGTGGCAGCCATGAGCTAAGAGCCCCAGCTCCTCTGGCTTTCAGAGGAGACTGAGAGGGCGGAGAACTGAAGCTTCCAGTTCCCTCTGCAGCTGGACGCTGCGGTGGTTGAAAGGGATCTTCAGCCCTGCTTCAGGGCGTCCGAGGTCCCCCGAGCTGCACTGGCCACACTCTGTCAGACACCCGCCCCATCTCCTTTCCAGCCCTGCTAGTTCTTTTATAAAAAATATTTTATTTATTTATTTTTAGAGAGAGGGGAAGGGAAGGAGAAAGAGTGGGAGAGAAACATCAATGAGTGGTTGCCTCTCATGTGTCCCCTAATGGGGACCTGGCCTGCAACCCAGGCATGTGCTCTGACTGGGAATCGAACCAGAGACCCTTTGCTTTACAGGCCCGTGCTCAATCCACTGAGTTATACCAGCCAGGGCCCTGTTAGTTACTAAGTACCTTTAGGCATTCTAGGTGCCCCCCCACCCCCACCCCCACAGCTGCTAGGCCCTCCTCTCTCTGAGCTCTGCTGCCCCCAGAGGGTGGAGCAGAAGCACTAAGGAGAGAGAGGAGCCATTTCACAGAGTTGACCTTTAACAATCCCAATATAATGAGAGCTGGGGAAGGCACTTCAAGGGTGCAGAGTAAGTTTAGAGGCAGTGAAGGTGCTGGTGCCTCCCAACACAGTTGTGTCGGACCCTGTCACAGATGAGGTTGGATGTGTACATTGTCTCTAACTCTGTTGGCCTTGTGGAGGGAAGGGTGGTGTGGTCAGGGCTGTGTTCAGCAGTGGATGCCCTTGCTGTCTTTGGGGTGGTGGGGTGTTGTAATGAGGAAGGAGGAACCGGAGCCAGTGAAGAGCCAATGGTGGTGGTAGTGGCTTCCGCAGGGTGGTGGTGCCAAAGCAAAATGTAGTTATTTCTCAGTGTGACCACCAGGTGGCCCCAGTGAGCTGAATTTGGGCCAAACTCACAGGAGGCTGAAAAACAGAGGGACCTGAGAACCCTTCTAATGCAGTCCTTCTCATCCTGGCTGCATAATCAGTTCACCTGGGAGCTTTAAAAATACTCGTGCCTGAGCTCCATCCCTAGAGTCTGATTTACTTGGTCTGCTGCGGGGCCAGAGCATGGATCTTTAAAAAGAAATTCCCTCGGCGATGCCAACGTGCAGTCAAGGTTGAGAACACCATATCCTCTAAGCAGGGCCCCTACCTGAGTCAGCATCAGGGACTCCTGGAAGCTCATTAAAATGCCTGTCGCTGGGCCCTGCCCTCGAGACTTTGATCCTGGAGGGATGGACCTCTAGCAGGCTCCTGGTCAGATGCTGCCCTGGTCAGTCTGGGCAGGGCGGCCAGCTCAGATTTTGATCAGGGGTGCCTCGAACATGTCAGTCAGTTTGGGGAGAACTGCCATCCTAGCAACCCTCACCTTTCTGATTCTGGAACATGAGGTGTTTTCCATTTATGTAGGTCTTTTTTAATTTCTTACGGGATGTTTGATATTACCGTTCCCAGAGTGTAAGTTTTGTGCTTCTTTTGTTAACTTTATTCCCATTTTACTACACATATACTACTAGAAATAGAATCGACTTTCTCATTTCACCTTTTAGCATGTTTGTGGTTATGGTAAAGAAATACATCCGCTGTTTGTGTACTGACCTTCTATCTTGCGACCTTGCTAAACTTGTTTGTTAGTCCTAAAACTTGTTTGTTTTAGCGAATTCCTTAGACTTTTCTATATACACAATCATGTCACCTACAAACAGAGACAGTTTTATTACTTCCTCTCCAGTCTGGGTGCCTTTTATTTAATTTTTTTGTCTAAGTGCTGTGGCAAGATCTCTCACTGCAGTGCTGAGTAGCAGCGGGAAGATCAGATGTCTCCCTCCCATGCCTGACCTTCGGGGGAGCCTTCGGGTGTCCGCCGTGGCGGGGGAAGTTCCCGTCCATTCCTAGTTTGAGTAGTTGTTTTCATAATTAGATGTTAAATATTTTTAAATGCTTTTCCTATGTCTGTTGAGATGACTGGTTCTTGCCCTTTGTTTTGTTGGTATAGTTTATTGTGGTAATTGACTTTGGGATTTGAAACTAACCTAGCATTCCTGGACTAAAGCCTACTTGGTGATGGCAGGTGATCTTTATATATTTCTACATTTGGTTGTTGAAGATTTTTTGCATCAGACTCATATGAGATATTTTTCTGTGGTGTTTTTCTTAAATAATGTCTTCAGTTGGTATTAGGGTGATATTGGCCTCTCAATGGTACCCTCTTGCTTTTACAGATGGGGAGACAGAAGCATGGGGAGGATGAGAGGTTATCACAAGTATATTAGTCATTTTGGGCTTAGACTGCGTGGCTTCAACAACAGAAATTTGCTTTCCCACATTTCTGGAGGCTGAAGAGTCCAGGATCAAGGTTCTGACTGATTCAGTGTCTAGCAAGGGCTCACTGTGGCTTGCAGACAGCTGCCTTCTCACTGTGCCCTCCCATGGCCTGTCCTCGAGTGTGAGGGTGGGTGGGCAGGGGGGACAGGGGCGGTCTCTGGTATCTCTCCCTATAAGGGTGCTAATCTTAGAGGTCATCCAATCATGGGCCCCTGGAGGTGCTATTACACAGCGAAGAACTGAAAGAGACCTGAATCCCAGGGGATTTCACAGACTGGTTTCCAAAAGGGAAGGACTGTTCTAGGGTTGCAATGTGTAATGTTGTTAAATGTGTTCATTTTAAAGAAAGGAAGGAAGGCAAAAAAGAAGCAAAAACTTTAAAAATCCACCTACTATCTAATGTGGTTGGCGTTTCATAAAAGAAGAGATATTTCAGTCCCAGAAAAGTAGAGTAGGTGTGAGCTCCGACTAGAGGACAGTCCTCGAAAAGATTGCGTCTTGAGATTCCCGTGGACCCGGACACTGGCTGTGGACCTGGGTTCGGGAATCACAACCGTTGGTGCTCGGCCGCCATCTCCTTTAATCAGGAAGGTGGAATGTCCCCGCTGCCTGGCTGGACCCAGAGCCCATGTCCTGCCTGAGGTCAGGGAAGCTCAGCTGTCCCGGCTGCGTCCAGATTAGAAGGGGCATCTGGCAGCTTGGCGTGTATGTGCATGTGAGGGTGTGTGTGCCGTGTAAGTGACTTGATTACGGTTGACAGGGCCCAGCATCAGTCCCTGTGTAGATGGGAGGGAAACCATTTAGATTGTTCCAGGCTGACGGGCAGAAGGAACATGGGTGTGGGCGTCGGAGGGAGCTGGGTTCCTACAGGGTTGCCTCCACCTCCTCTGACCGCTGGGTCCCCACCGGCCGGGCTGGACTAATGCTGCCTTCCTGGCAGGGTTCGTGTGGGAAGGACACGAGGGACAACGGGAAGCGCAGGGCTGGGCGGGCGCTCATGGGTGCCCAACACACGGGGGTGCTCCTAAGGTCATTGGAGGGCCATGGTGTCCCAAGGCCTTTCTCTGAGCTTCAAAACCCCCCAGAGACCCAGAGATTTTAGTGCTAAAGGGTTTAGAGCGCACACGACCCCTCCCTTGACAGAGGAGTGGGAGATCAGGTTTCCCAGGTCCCGTGTGAGCTGATGGCGGAGGAGGTGTCAGGAGCAAAGATTCTCACTCCCAGCCCAGAGCCGCTCCCCTGACCACGCCGCCCTCGACCCGCTGCCAGCGTCCGTCAGCATCTGCGAGTTCTCACTGGTCGCACGGTCTTCCTGCGTTTGGATCGGGACCGGGAAGGGCCCACAGGCCACATCAGGTCCGAGCGGCCCTCGGTGGTGTTGAGTCTGGAGCCGCTCTGCCTTCTTCCCTGGAAGCAAGTGGGCCGAGACCACTGCGCTGTCTCGCTGGCCGTGCAGCCTCTGGGGCCCCTGACGACGCCCAGGTGCGGCCCGGTCTGTGTCAAGGCCCCTGTAA